AGGTCTTAGGGTCAGCAAGCTATCTGTCGACATCCGCATACACTGCCGCCATTTTGATATTTTACCAACGAAATTGTTTGTTTCGTAAATAGTCTTACTTACGTATAATACACACAAAGTATAATTTAGTATTTGTTTCGTCTCTGAGCTCACATTTAGTTTACAGGAAAGTTGCTGTAGGTGGCAGAAAGTTCTTGGTCGTTGTGAGAACCAAAGGAGCAGATTCTCGGATTACCTAACCTCCATAAGATTTATGATTTCCACACGCCTGGTACAGGGGTTGGAGCATTAAAGAACAGTTGTGTTGGACATACATGTGTTAGAAGTTGTACAGGGCATGAACAACAAAATATGTGTTGGACATACATGTGTTAGAAGTTATACAGGGCATTAACAACAAAATGATCATTCTGAATTCAAAGTCTGACAAAAATTTAGAGCGTAGGTAAATTGGCTTGTCCATGTTGTACAAACTAGGGATCAGAATAGAACTGAAATTGGAATGAGATTAAAATTGAGGTGGATGTTACAAATTTATTGTAGTTAAAACTGTGTTAAATTCTTTGATGTCATGTAGGCCTGTGTATAGATGATTTTTAATAAATACAATGTAAATAATTAAACCTAATTAATACTAAACTCACTCTTACATCCGTCAGAAAACATTTAATAGCCTGTATCGACTGCAATAATCTTTTATCTACGAATGTTTGTATAAATTTTGATAACAACTTCATTTCTTTAAAGATCATCCATTAATATTATTATCACACATTTAAGGTCCTTTCTGATTTGAATTTATTTATATCTTTATTGTTAAACTGAAACTAATTAATGTCTAATGTTTAATGATTTAGACATGCTGTTTGTTACAGTAATAAATTATAAGTTATATACGTGTTTATATTTTATCCATTATAGTATGAGCATGGAAGAATTTTTAACTTTGAAATATTTGTTTGATATTCTGCACACATCAGAAATTCAAAATCAAAAGATTTTGTCGCGTCCTCTGATAATGCGATCACATACATAGTGTGTGTTTAAAATTCTCGTTCTTTTGTGTTTCAACACTAAGGCTGCAAAAGTCTGTTTTAAGACGGTGATAAACGACTTTCATTTATCTATAATCTGGTTCAGTCGTATGTCAGATTAAAATAATCGTACTGTATTAATGTGGATTCGTATTTCATATATAAGGCTCTAACAACTTCAGTGGTTGCGGAATAGATGGCAGCACAATACAGAATCCTTCTCAGATGACGTGTGTGTTTTATCCGGGGTTGCCATGGTTGCCGAAAGCTTTTGTTCCCACACCATGAACTCCAAAAGGCTCGTCTTTGTGTATCTGGAGAGACGCGATAATAACGAACCCATTGTGTCGGCTTTACCCCCACCACAACTGAGCTAATCCAGCATCCCACCCGCTACAATACGGGGGGGGGGGGGGGGGAGAGAGAAGCCATCTGCCGTGCGATTTTGTCTTTGCACCGCGTCACTTCTGCCACCTAGTGGGACGTCGTCGAAGCTTTTCTCAAAACACATACATCTGTACTTTTACATCTTTGTTATAGTGAACATTGGTGACAAGTTTTGTGCTATTACTGCTGCAAAAAAGAACTCGATTCATAAAGAGCAACACCCCACGTCCATCAGTGAAATTTGTCAGGGATTAGACAGCTATTTTATACGTGTGCTTATAGAAAGGACCAAAACTTTGAAGACCTCTAAACAAGTGACATGAGAAGAAGATCCAGTGACGAAGAGGATGATGCTGGAATTGTTCGTGGAGCCACCTCACGAGCATCCGGGGAACTGTCGCGGTTGTGGCGTCTGGAGACGCAACATCAGGAGGCTTTGACCGGTACCACGGCGACGTGGGGTTGGGAGGCTGCGAGAGGAAACACGGTAAGTAAACAGACGCCCGTCTTCACAAGACGTTTTGATTTACGCAGTGACAACTCTAACAAAAAACAAATTACTCAAGACGTGTCTTTACATGCCAGCATTTCGAAACTGGATGTGATTTTAGGCAACATTTTACTACATCATTCAGTGTGCTGATCTGTGACCGATATAAAACGTATCTTTAAATGCTCTTTTGTTTTCTGAAGCGTAATAATGTTGTGTACTGTGCAGTTTAAATGGTTCTTAATCTTTGTAAATCGTGACTCAAACGCTTTCGTTTAGAAGTTACTAATAAAATGACATGCCACATTTAATTCTTAATGTTAGCATGAAAATGTTCGGTTCAGAGATAATTATGAAAATCCACATCAGTGCTTGCTTACCTTGAATTGAATTGAATTGAATCAATAAAATGGCCCAGTTGTCATTATTTAAATAATTACTATTGATAAATAAACTGCACGAAAAAGGATATTAAATCACGACTGTAAAATAAGTGCTTCAATAAACGTATCTAACATAATTTATAAATTACACAAACAGTTATTACTAAAATTAGTCTCAGAATAGAGTGTGATGATGGTGTGGACTGGGTAGTGACATGTGACAGGCTATCGTGAATTCTGTAAGAGGCCGTGGTTTTGTTTTCTAGCTGAGCAACTATTCGCTTCCCAAGAAGGATTGTTCTGCATTCAGTTAGTTTATGTAACATTTAATTTAGTAACAAACTTTAGTAATGAAGTATTGGCCTTTATTATGAGGCTGGTGTAAATTAATATTATGGAGTGCATCAAGTAGTTTATTCTTTAGAAGTATTGGATGGGCGTTGTTTAATACATCCCCTACCCTTGTAAGTACTTCAGCTTTCGGGAATAAGTAGCATCGATTTTTGAAAGGCATCTTCTCCATGCACATAACAACTAGTGTGTTTGCTGAAACGTTGGCAAATTTATCCCCCAAAGCTGAATTTATACATTATACGTACTTTAATACAAACCTATTTGTTTATCAGTAAATGTTTATGTATCATTTGTTATTTTCTGCTCTATAAATATCTTGTATCTGTGCATGACATATTTATGATTGAATCGAAACGGGTTCAGATAAGTTTAACACTACCATTCGTGTAAAATAGTTTCACAGTACAAAGTAATAAGTTAATTGATCTAGGACAGAGAACATAACTGGAGGATTGAGAAAAATCCATAATTATGAACATTATAATTGGCACTCTTCATAAATTAGATTTATCGAATCAAGGGGAATAAGATTGTCGGTGAACTTAAGAGCATGTTGTAGGAGACTGGGAATATTTGACTAGCTGAGCAACTATCAGTTTCTAAAGAAACACTCTGCAACTTGTAATTACTTACAGAGCAACATTTCGAAGTATTGTATTTTCGTTTTTTGTTGTATGAATCACTACGTCAGTGTGAAATATAACAAGACCTACATTTTTTTAAGTGAAACTGCCTCATGTTTTCTCTGTGTCGTCTGGGCTGACCGCCATCTTGTGGTGCAGAATCCGAGCGTTGCCATGGATACGAGTAGCAGCTTCCCCTTCTCCGGGTCGTCCAGCCAGCCCCAGCAGCCACAAGACCTGGTCCAGCAACAACTACAGCAGGTCCCGGGTCGCCGGACCCCTTTGGGTGCCGTAGGACTCGGGGGATTCTACTTCTCTTCGTCTCCGTCATGTCCTCCGCCCCCCAATAATGGGTCATGCCCCCTCCAGGCCGACGAGAACAGACCAGAGTCAGCTGGGTCGCACCACCAAAATCAGCAGATGGGGCAGAGGTACAGTGAAGTATTAACTTGATGGTCACTATATGGCAGTGACACCTACTTCATTTGCATATAGAAGTACGTGTTCGAATTACGTAACTTTTTCAACATGTACAGGATATTCTCAGAGTAGAATATAAAAGTCCCCTGTCAAAATTATATGGAAATTATATAAAACATTTTTCTAAGAAGAATTTTTGAATAATAAAGAGATCAATTAACAGGGACATGAAGAACATATATGAAGAGAATTTATGATTTTTCCATCCATCTTTAATTATTAGTATAACTGAATCGAGTATAATAAGGAATTTAACAAATACATAAGTTTATTGTGGAAAAAAACACTGAAGAACGGTTACTTGGTAGGCAGATGCGCAGATGAGAAAATATTTTTAAGGAAATACATCTCGAAAATGTGAGCAATTTAATTTATTTCTGAAACGTTGGTAAACTTTTACCAGACTGCTCGGTAAAGCGATCCATCTTAAAGTTCGTTGTAGTGAGAACCTGAAATCTCGTTTATTAGTTTATTAGACGTTGATGACACGGGATAAAACCTTCGGAATGATAAACTTAACAGCTGAAGAAATTAACAGCTCAGCAGAGAAAATGTTGTATAAGTTATAAGTTAGTTGTTAATGGTGTTATTTTTTATTTTTAAGTAGGCAGTAGGGCGTTTGTTTTTCGGAAATAATTTACTTCGATTATTTCTAGTTAAATTCAAATTAAAATTGATGTAACAAGCAGTTTTTGTTCAAATACGTAATATTATTCCCAACTCACCTGAAATTTGAGGAGAATTTTAGGTATGTTTGAAGTATTTTATCACTAATTATTAAACAATTTAAGAAGATACTTTATTAATTTTTTAAAAAATTAGTAGCTGAGTAACTTAAAAACGTTCTTACTGACTAAGACTGAAATATTCCTGATAATTCTAAAGGTATTTATATATAATTAAACTCTATAAAGCCATTGAAGAGCAGAACATACGTCAATAAAGTAAATTAAAGCTTCCCTCTATACGTCATCTAGGCTCCTACTCATTCTTAACCTCGGCACTAGATGGGAGTGAGTGGTCAGCATCACGCCTCGGCCGCGCTTTACTCCCGGGAAAGGACCCCGGTACCCACTGGATAAGAGGCTGGGTGGGCCCCAGAGCCGTCTGGACCCAGAGGCTAGAGGAATAATTCTCTGTCCCCAGTCGGGGATCGAACATTCGTCAGTAGTAACGAAAATCACTGCTCCTGTGCCTATAACATTTAGTGTATATTATTTTATAGAAACTATAATACCATATTCAAGTCTTTGACAAAATGGTTGCCAACAAGAATGAAGGTAACTTGTTTTATTAATGGACAGTTTTTATATTAGAATTCTTTCGTTGCGTTTTTAATCCGTATCAGCGGAGTTAGACTTTTCTTTCAGTGACGTCTTTGTCAGCATGTCCGCATAGTCTTATCGGAATTCATCACATAACTGAGAGCTCATCCTGTACTATCAATTCACCCCGATTCCGTCGCATATAATCCCTTTCATTGCTGACTCTAAATTGCTAATGAACCGAGATTGGTTTAGTTTCTGGTTACGAATTGAACAGTGGGGGTTCGATTCTAGATAAGGAAATGGACGCATCTCTCCGAAACCTAATCCAGATCGTGTGGTTAACCATTCATCTACAATTAGTGCTGAGGATAAGACTGCGTGGAGTTTTACCTCCACTTCCCTCTACGCCTTCAGGACGAATTGTTCCGACTGCCTTAGCGTTATTACTACGACCGAGCAGGTTGGCGTAGCGATAAGTTTCCTGACTTTTGTCCACATGTTCCTGGTTCGAATGTCAGCGATGCTCAGTGTTAATTTTCTAAGATCCTTCAGACTAGTGAAATATTACCACATTAAAGGCGATGGTCTTTACTACAAATTTCTTATCGAGTAGATTAATATAGCAGTAATGTTGTGATTTTTTTCTTTGAGTGTCGGTTGAGGTGTCTGCAATTCTGGCCAAGAATCTTCTTGATTTTATTCGGTGACAAGGGATGTACAGGGTTAGAACACCCGCCTCTCACAGTTCTTTCTGCCTATCAAACCGTTTATCACGATACCCATCCCATCTTTTGCTGTAAAACTTCCGCAACTCAGTGTGGCTTCAAATAATCAATACTAGTCTTTACCTATTCATATCGTATTCCTTGTTATTGGCACTATATAACTTCTAAACTTGAAACGTCGTCGTTAAATAACGTAACAATTAGTGTCGTTAAAAGGCAAATTGTGCGTAACAGCACTTTCTCTGTAGCCTATTCAGATATAGGAAGTTTTCTATAAACCAAAAGAAATGCACAACCCCCACTCCTTTCCACCCCTCCCAACATCCCTCGCTCGCTGCAGTGTCCTGGTTCTCCCCGGAATCCAGGGAGTGGCGCCACGTGCAGACCTCGTTTAAATCTGCAAACACCTGAACATCGCTTATGCATATCCCCCACCTACCCTTAACAATCTCTAACACAATTATTTTCAATCACAGGGTAACGAGTTGGGTTTGTGGGGCTGGGAAGTGGGTGACTGAGGTATCATATAAGGCAGTGTAGTGGTTGGAACCCTTGTAGCATATTCTAGAGGTCTCTAATCCGATATTTGAAAGACTTCATATTTTTTCTCGGTCCTAGGCAATTTCTGGCTATTATCTTCAATAGTTCGTGGAGCAGAATCCTTAAGAAACTAACAGTCACTTAGTAAAGATATTACCTGTCTTTTATAAAACCAGAAATTTCATTAGTTTTCAAGAACCCAGCTGAGAAATCTATCCTGAACCATTTCAGTCTATTTAAAACCTTCATATCTTTGACAGAAGAAAGAAACACTTTAATATTATCCTCCTTTTCGGGATTTCAGACTAAAAATTCGAATGAATTTCTTAGGTCCTACATGAGTGTCACATGCCTACTTGACCATCCTAACCTCATTTAAGAGTGCGCATTATGAATCGCTTATGCATTCATATCCGGATTTCTGTTGCCTCTGGTCCCATAGGCTCAAATATACTCCTCAGTACCCTTTTATCAAAAACACTGAATCTGAATGTTTTCCCCTTAGTGCTAGCAAAGCGCGTCGTGAAACAAGTTTTGCCGTAGTATCAGAGTGAACTAATTAGGCTCCTGAAGCTGATGGGTTGAAAATGAGGGGTGAAGGCAATTAATGTCACTGTGCTGCTGTTTTCACTTGACCTGGCTCAGGGCTTTGATATTTTCTCTTGAGGCAGTGTTTAAATGATGTTTTGACATAAGGCCCTTCAATTTATGACTCACAGCTTAACCTGTATCTCCACACTACATAATATGTGCAGCTGAAAACTCGTCATTAAATGAACCATATTAAAAGAAACGTTAAGAGGAGGGATTTGTCCTGATTCTCGTTTACTCTGGTAATTACGCGTTTATGAGTATAACTTTCCATGAATAAAAATTTAAAGAAACTAAATCATAATGTGAAACATAATGTGGTATTAGATCCCAGGATTTTATTGAATGCCGTAAGATTTTAAGTTATAGTTAAAACAACACAGAACTCGATATCGTGGTAGGTCTGAAATCCAAATCACTGTTATATTTTCGGAAATTGGAAATATGAGCTTTTCTATTTCATGTGAGGTAACGAAGACAATTGACTATCATAAATTTGAGTATAAAGAAGTGTAAATTTATACTCTATAATGGTCATATTTCAAGATGAACATAAAGGACTGTAATTTTACGCGTATTACGTATACGCGATTCGTGCGTGTAGAACTTGGCCGTTCACTCTTAAGAAAATGATGTATTTTATACAGATTATTGAGAAGAATGTTTGTCCCTAGGAAACAAGTCTTAACAAAGGATTGAGACAAGTTTACAGAGAAGAGATTTCTTGTTTATGATCTTTAGGGTGACTAAAGTTAGTCGGAAAATCGTCAGGAAAGCGACTATTCACGAGACCTAGATGCAGATAGGTAGACGTTATAATAAAATCTCTTACAGGCTCTAGGCACGTGTGTTTGTATTTTCTTTGTCTGAGTAGTGCCTGTCTATTGAGTGACTTTGTTGTTATTACTTCGTCTCTTATTACAGGATTTTTTTAGATTTGTTGTTACTTTTCTTCTCGAATCAGGGGGCGAACCCCGCCACTCAGCCTTAAAGTTTCATGTTCTTGATATTATTGTTATTATTATTCATGTTTAAGTAAGGATGTAATTGATTTTTGGACATTGGATGAACCAAATGCATTACATAGTAATTAAAATTAACCGAAGCAATAATTGTGTATCACGTGAGATAAAATGAGTTGCTTCTATGTCTTTATTTTAATGCGACATTGTAATATACAAAATTGCAATGTATAGGACATTGATTCTTTAAGTTCAATGTACATGTTCTTTGGTGGCTGTGGATGTTTGATGTAGCTATTGAAGTTTTTGGGATTCGGTGGAAATTTGTAATTATTTTTCCTTAATTTTTGTACGATATTTGTTTTATTAATTATGGTATGGGCATAACTTATGTTCTGTTGTTTTCTTTGTTATTTTTCGCAGATTGTAATTTACTACATATATACAGGGTGATTCAAAAGGTTAGGACCAAACTGAAGGAGCGTATAGAGGGACTCAGAGAGAACAACTTTCGAATAGGAATCCGTGTCCTCCGAAGTTATCCTGAGTCAGTCGAGGCCATTGAAGGTAGGGAAGTCTGATAACATACCGCTGAAATAATCGTACTTTGCTATTGTCCTACTAGCTTAATTTTGAATCGCACGTATCCCGGGCATTGGATCGGGAGAGGAGGGACGGTTGAATGGCCAGTCCGCTCCCCAGACTTGACACCTCTCGATTACTACTTTTGGGGGCATGTCAAGAGCCTCGTTTACGAGACACCGGTGGACGACCCAGAACAACTTTTGGCCAGAATACTTGCTGCATCTGACGTGGTCCGTGAGACTCCTGGGGCATTTGAAAGGGTGCACCAGAGTTTCGTTCGCCGATGCATTGAATGTGGAGGACGCCACTTTGAACACCTGTTGTAAATTTGGTTTGTAAGATTGTTAATATAATCCTCGTACGTTAATAAAAAAACAAAATTAAGATACTAGTAGAATAGCAAAGTACGATTATTTCAGAGGTATGTTATCAGACTTCCCTGCCTTCAATGGCCTCGACTGACTCAGGATAACTTCGAAGGATATGGATTCCTATTCGAAAGTTGTTCTCCCTGAGTCCCTCTATACGCTCTTTTAGTTTGGCCCTAACCTTTTTAATCATCCTGTATATGAGTTTGTTTTCCGTGCTTTGTTTCAGGAAGATTCTAATATGTGATTTATTTCGTTATCAGTGAATATTTTTCTATGCAAATCAAGTATTGCCTTTAAACTTTAAGGCACTTTGCAGCAAATATTTGTGACTTTGAAAAGTGTTATTTTTGTTATTATAATTTCATAATACACTCATGGTAATCGAATGCACAGTATGTCCTGAAATTACTTTTCATTGCCAGATCAAATCAACATCAACAGAGATCTTCAGGTATGGGCGGAATTGGAGGTGGCGGTGGAAGTGTTAGTAAATCCAAATCCCGCCAGGGTAAGATGGTGCGACTCAACATCAACGCAAGAGAACGAAGAAGGATGCACGATCTAAATGATGCTTTGGATGAACTGCGTAGCGTAATCCCTTACGCACATTCTCCTTCAGTGCGTAAACTCTCCAAGATAGCAACACTTCTGCTCGCCAAGAACTTTATTCTTATGCAAGCAAATGCACTGGAGGAGCTTCGACGACTCATAGCTTACCTTCAACAAACTGTGGCAGCGGCGGGATTAGCACCGGCTGGTGGGTACGCTGATCTGGCGGGGTTCCCCGCAACGCCAACTGCTACGAAACTACAACAGCAGGCTCAGGTAGCAGCTACAGCAACCGCCCAGAGAAGCTCCAACGCTTCTGTAGTGGCCCCTGGAACAGCTTCGGCGTCTTGAATAGACAGAATTAATATTTATTTACAATTTCAGTAAATCACAAAGTTTAGGAAAACAATTGGACCAGCAGAATATAAAATAATATGCAAGTCAGTCAGTACGCCTGTTCTTACGAATTAACACATAGGATGTTTTAAAGACTTTGGGTAACTTCAAACTTTGGCCTTGAAATGTTTCTTTTTTACTAACGAAACGCTGCATAGGTGCACTACTGGCTTCTTGCTGTATATGTGGCATTTTTAGTGAAAGTAGTTATTACCAATATGTTAGCCTGTTACTCGAACATAAACACAGAGATACTTTTTACTTTTCTCGATGAATGCAGCACGGAATTTAATGATGAAACGCAATGCATGTTGAACGGAGTCCGCAAATTGTTAAATTGAAATTTATTATAAATTCTTGCATCTTAATGATGCGACTTCACCATTGTCATTCAAAATTATTAAAAATGGAAGCTCTCCTAAGTACGTAAAATAAGAAGATTTCTGTCTTGTGGGTTGTTGCGCTGTGTAGTTTGGTCGTTGTTAACCAACGTTTCAGAGGTCATACTGCCTCCGTCATCAGGGCGATGGTTAACATCGACCAGACTACACAGCGCAACAACCCAGAAGACAGAAATCTTCATACTCACCGCTGTGAAAACCTCAAATCTAACATACGTAAAATAAATCTGAATCTGCAATTAATATATTAATTCTGGTAAATACTGACCGAACAGATTATTTTCTTAGAGGAGCACTGTTGATTTGCTGTTGGGTATACGAAATTTTCTATATATATCTTATAAAATTGAAATTATTTGCGCCATTCAAAAAACACTTCCAGCATTTACGTGAAGAAACTTATTCTGTCTGTATTAATGAATGCATTATCCGAGACAAATTTATACGTTTTAATAAAAGGAGATAACTAAAACTGAAAATGTTTTTCACTTTGATAAAATTCATGAGGGAATAATCTTTGTTGCGTGTGTAAGTGTGTGTACAAAAAACATTTTTCTTTTATATTTATGTATATTTTAACGCGTTGTAGCACAAGAGCAATATTCTTACCTAACTCATACATATAAACTAACAGGGATTCTTGTAATATTTCATATAACTTATGGAGATACATTTTTACGAAATTGTCTGTGTATGCTTCAAAATTACCTTGTAATCGGCGAAGTTAAAAAAATTGAGACAGTTTTATTAAAATGGTAATCAATTAAAAAGTGCGTGTAGCAGCAATTATAAAAAGAATTTTTTTTTATTGATTTGATGGCTTGGTGAGGCAGTAATTTTCTAAGGTTGCATAAGTTTTGTGCTATCTAAAGTTGAGAAAAATATTCATATTCGTATTCAAAAACTTCGCTTCTGCTGTATTAGCACAGTGACATGCTTTGACGTCTGTGGCACGTCCAAATGGTCGAGGGACTTCTAGTAGCTCTTGTGGCTGTGAAATTTGATTTGTGTTGATTTAGTAGTTTATATCTACGATATTTTGTGTTAACTTTATTTTTTAATATGGAATGTATTGTTTAGTGTAGATTTTTATTATTAGACGAAATCAAATAGCATTACATTGGGTTAAGATGATGCATTCGTTGTGAACGGACAATCATTCGTTCAGACAGCAAATGAGAATAAGTTTCTCCAACTTGCTAAATCTATCCAACAGAAGTAAAATAATACGAAGCGTAGAACAATACACGGCACACAAATTAATTTTCTTGTTGTATCAAGTCACAATATGAATTATTTCTTTCTTGAAATAATTTTATAAGCAAACTCCTCCATGTTTCAACGCGTTTGTGGTAGTTTTGATGATCAAGATATAGTTTAAGAATTTCCAGACATAAAGCACAAAATATATTCAGATATTAAATAAACAGATTCTTCCGGGCAAGATACCTCGTTTGTAGTTTTAAAAGGGTTAAAATTCCTAATTTTCTAGTCAAAAATTAAGGTAGCCTGTCTATAACATCTAGAAGTATGCTATAATTACCTGTTTTATAAATATTTTAATATATGCACGATCCAAAGAACAAAATATGAAATTGATATCTTTGCCCGGCAGAGGCGCGGATAATGCAGAAATATTGACTACAGTATTAGATTTGATACGCTGTACGTTCAGCTTGCTGACGTAACGTCTCGAAACTCTCTAAGTCATTTTATGGTCTCGTGAACAATTTCTTGTGCTGTCGGGATATTAGACGAAACAGGAAGTGTGGGTAGGGTCCCGAGGGAATAGTGGGTACGGTACAGAAATCGAGTTACCAACAAGTCATGGCATCTTCGAACATTACCAACCGCCTTATATGTGTTGTTCCATTATTCGAACCCAGAAGCAGACAGTCTTTAAATTTGGACTAATGCATCACAAGTAACAGTACTTACGTGATCAGAATACACCTTTATGTCTCTCATACCGAAGTTGAGTAATTTATCCACAGTGGTTTAAGTTATGTGGAATGAGAAAGGGCAAAATTAACATGGGACATGTCACAGACATTGCCATGGGAGAATTATGCTTATATTAGAAAATAAATTAACTGTGGTATTGTGAAAACTGTTGGTTGTCTTATATATTGTTACGACTTATAGTATTTTTTTGTGTATCAACATTTTGGAGGAACATGCTGACTCTTCAGGGTTGAAAATTGAATACGTGTGCTCTTTCAAAACGTTCACATTCAGATAAAATATTATATGGCGTAACAAGACAGAACGCTACCTTCAATGACACCAAAATGGAGCTTAAAGAATTAATATAAAAATGTAGACTAAATTTATCTGGCTTAGGATATGTTCCAGTGGCTGGCTTTTGTGAGAATGGCAATGAACTATCGAGTTTCATAAAAGACTGAGCGAATGTTAACTTCTTACTTAAGACTATGTTTTATTATATTAGTTTTGTGTGACCAACTTCTGACACTCGTTTGTAAAGTTAAATAACGGAAGAAATTAAACAGCTCCCCCAATATTGTCAGGGTGATTAAGTCAAAAATAAGTAGATGGGCGGGACATGTAGCGCGCATGGATGGGACAAGAGATGTGCACCGGGTATTGGTCTGGAGGCCTGAAAGGAAGACACCGCTGGGGAGACCTAGACGTAGATGGGATGATAATATCATACGGGATCTATGGGAGATAGGAGTTGAAAGAGACTGGATTTTGTTCGCCCAGGACAGGGTCCGGTGGAGGGCTTTGGTTAATTCGGTGATAAACCTTAGGGTTCCGTAAGCCATCTAGTAAGTTAGTTACCTGAATAGTACCAGCAAACCGATTGAACGCCGTGTTAACAGCATTGAGTAATTACGATACGCCAGTTTTTTAGAGGTTTATTTTATCGTTGTGATATCTGAATGAAGTCTTGGGGTGCCTGTCCCGTGTACTGGTTTTTCATATGTTTGTCACTGCAATGAAGACTGAGCTAAATCCATTGTCTTATTAGCCGTTATTAGGTACGAACCTTAAATATGTGAAACTACTTTGGTTTTGATTTGTTATCAAAATGAATCGATACTCAAAGTGAAAGTTTTTGAGTATATTTAATATAAGACATGAAGTATTCGGTTTGATAGCAATGTGTCCTGAAGGCTTATGCGTGTATTGTGCTAGACGTTACAGCTGAGTGCTGCTTTAAATTTTTCACCGAAAGTCTATATTCACGAAAAAATTAGGAGCAGATTAATTTTAATTAAATAATGGATTACAAATGTATATTATAGTAATATCATTTTTGTAGGTTTCGATTTGAACTTCTTGTAGCTTTTATATTATGCCATTACGAGCAAAAATTAAATTAGCTGTAATGCGGACGCACAGAGAGACGATTCTTCTACATTATGCGTTTGTTATGCATTCTGTGCAAATATCTTGAACCCGCTGAGCTTTTTTCTCAGTTCAGTTTTATATTTACATCACTCACATTCAAGTTATATTAGTTTTGTGTGACCAACTTCTGACACTCGTTTGTAAAGTTAAATAACGGAAGAAATTAAACAGCTCCCCCAATATTGTCAGGGTGATTAAGTCAAAAATAAGTAGATGGGCGGGACATGTAGCGCGCATGGATGGGACAAGAGATGTGCACCGGGTATTGGTCTGGAGGCCTGAAAGGAAGACACCGCTGGGGAGACCTAGACGTAGATGGGATGATAATATCATACGGGATCTATGGGAGATAGGAGTTGAAAGAGACTGGATTTTGTTCGCCCAGGACAGGGTCCGGTGGAGGGCTTTGGTTAATTCGGTGATAAACCTTAGGGTTCCGTAAGCCATCTAGTAAGTTAGTTACCTGAATAGTACCAGCAAACCGATTGAACGCCGTGTTAACAGCATTGAGTAATTACGATACGCCAGTTTTTTAGAGGTTTATTTTATCGTTGTGATATCTGAATGAAGTCTTGGGGTGCCTGTCCCGTGTACTGGTTTTTCATATGTTTGTCACTGCAATGAAGACTGAGCTAAATCCATTGTCTTATTAGCCGTTATTAGGTACGAACCTTAAATATGTGAAACTACTTTGGTTTTGATTTGTTATCAAAATGAATCGATACTCAAAGTGAAAGTTTTTGAGTATATTTAATATAAGACATGAAGTATTCGGTTTGATAGCAATGTGTCCTGAAGGCTTATGCGTGTATTGTGCTAGACGTTACAGCTGAGTGCTGCTTTAAATTTTTCACCGAAAGTCTATATTCACGAAAAAATTAGGAGCAGATTAATTTTAATTAAATAATGGATTACAAATGTATATTATAGTAATATCATTTTTGTAGGTTTCGATTTGAACTTCTTGTAGCTTTTATATTATGCCATTACGAGCAAAAATTAAATTAGCTGTAATGCGGACGCACAGAGAGACGATTCTTCTACATTATGCGTTTGTTATGCATTCTGTGCAAATATCTTGAACCCGCTGAGCTTTTTTCTCAGTTCAGTTTTATATTTACATCACTCACATTCAAGTATTATCCCATCTATTCACCACTTTGTGGGGTATGTACTTCCATGTACCCGAGACAGACCTTGTCCCTGAGGTACATAGGGCAGCAGCTATTTCCGGGATACATATTGTTTTTAGGAAGTGCCACATGTATTATATAATTTTATTTTATGAAAGCGTCTTTCGGATGATGTATGAAGTTCCCAAAATGGCGGTCTTCTGCAGTTCCCTGATGTCGTGTTCGCCAGGGATGTTGGCCAAATATTTTCTGAGTGACCTGGAGACAGTTCCAGTTGCTCCTATAATTATTGAAATTATTTTTGCTTTTTATTATTATTATTCACAGTTTATTAGATGTTAATAATTTTCAATTTTAATTTTTTGTTTTTGTTTTTTTGTTTATCACCTTATCATCACAACTGTGATTTGTGTCGGTATAATTATCATTATTTAAATTATATAAATTACATGATTTTGTTTATGATTTGTTTTTGTGTGTTTTGTCTTTTTCTTATTCTTTTCTTTTTTAAAGTCCCGCTTTGCTGCGTAATTCCCTGTATTCTGT